GTCTGTCCTCTCTCTCTCTCCTTCTCTCACAGTCTATAAATATTTCCTTTCTATATTTGGATGTCTGATATCAGGTGCCTCTATATTCAAATGTGTTGCTTTCCTCTCACTTCACTGTGTAATGGATGACCTTTGTCGTTATTCTTCTCTGCTATAGATCACGTATTGCTTTTAGCTGATTGAAATGTTGCTGGTGTCACCTTTTGGAGAGAAGATTGGACATCTTACTTAAGCCCTTCTCTTTCATATATGTCCATTATCAGAGGTGAAGTCATATATTTTCATTAGGAACATTGATGTGTAAACCAATGAATAATCTTTGTTATTACAATATTCAATGACTTTAAATAATTAGGGAAGGCAATGAATTTGCATTCAAACTGATAATCCATAGGGAATGGTAGTTTGAAAAGGAACAGCCCCTGTAGACCCAGTGTTGGAATGCTTGGCCCATAGGGAGTTGTACTATTAGTGGGTGTGGTCTTTTTGGAATAGGTATAGCCTTGCTGGAGAAGGTATGTCACTGTTGGAGTGAGCTTTAAGATCTTATATTTTGAAGCTATGCCCAGTCTCCTCCCACTGCCTGAAGATAAAGATGTAGAACATTCAGCTCCTTTTCCAGCACCATGTTGGGCTTCATGCTGTCATATTTCTCAACATGATAATGGACTAAGTCTCTGGATCTGCAAGCCAGTCCTAATTAAATGTTTTCCATTATACGAGTTTCCATGGTAATGGTATCCATTTACAGAACAGAAACCCTAACTAAAATAGTATTAATATAAATCCAAGGCACCTTGATTTATAGTCTTATTGGATTTTTGGCTCACTACAAGCCTATCTTTGTGGTTAGGTAATTTTTTTCAGTAGTGATTTGATTTTTTTTGTTTTGAATCTTGGTCTATTCGTAATAGATTGCTGCTTTGTGACTATTTTGAGACATAAAAAATCATCAGATTATCATCATGTGTTTTAAACTAGTATTGACAAAATATGATTTCAAATATTTGAACTGAAAGATTACAAACAAACTGAGAAAACTTTTGGCTGAATTTATTAAATTTACAGTCAATTTCAGGCCTCAATTTGAAGTCTCACTTTATCAGTCTAAATTCTTACCTTTGCCTTGATTAATTTTCCCACTGTTTTAATCATTCCACCTCATAGTCTTCATACTCAAGTTACACAATATTTATATGTGCCTGGACACAATATTTATGCTAGGAGAAGCATTCTGAGTATCATATGTAGGTTTATACTCTAACATATTCTCTTACTCATTAGTATCCTTTCTTCAGTGTGATGTCTACCTGTAAACATTTCTGTAGAACAGGTCTGATAGTGAATCGTTCTCGGAACTTTGACTTGGAATGTCTTTAAATCTCCTTTCCTTCTTAAGAATAGTTTTTCTAGGCACAGTCTTTGGGGTTGGCAGTTTCTGAGCTTCATTACTGAGGAAACATCTTGCTGCTTTCTCTTGGCTTGTAAGGGCTATATTGAAAAGCCTGCTGTCAGGCTAATTGGTCCCAATTAGGTATTATTCTTATCTCTTCTTGCTACCTTGAGAAATTTCTATTTTTCTCTCATCTTTGAGAGCTGAATTATAATATGCCTCATGGTAGACCCAACTAACTTGATGACTGTTGGTCACCTTCTGCTGAATTAAAATTTCTGCAAACACCTATGACTGGTGCTAGGTTGAAAACAAGTCCAACAGTTTACCATGGTGTAGGAGCAGGATCATGTGTGCTTACTGGCCTGTTTTGAAAAATGTGGAGTTGTACTAGAGAAAGGATGTCTGTTCTCCATCTACAAAGAAAACATTTTGATACTTCTTGAAATGTATTAGGGATTATATAGCTGTCCTTTCTGTCTCCAATATAACTTTTCTTAGCGAAATGGAGAAAACAAGCACTATTCTTTCATGTGGATTCTTTCCACATTATAGTATGGACTCCTTGAGTCATCAGAAAGTGGCATCAGAAGGTGCCTAGCTGTTCAAATTGCTAGCTGTTCAAAATTTTCTAGTAGAATTTAAGACAAAAGGAGAAATATTTTTAATGTTTCTGTTACAAAAGATAAGTGAAAAGTGCATAGGTGGGCTTCGATTTCAGAATCAAGGCCATGCTACACTATTCATTTACATATTTAAGCCCCTTTAATTTAGTGAATTTTGCAGATTCAATGCAGACTCCCAAAATTTAACTAAATATACGTAATAGACTAAGTCATGTTCACATCAACTTATCATTTAAAGCAAGGATTTTCTTAATTGTATCTTAGAACATAAAATGTTCCTTATAATACAGTTCAATACAGATTATTGCTGTTTTGTAGTTTATTGAACTCACAAGATAGATGCTGAGACCTTCATTTTAAAGCGAAATCATTTAACAGTCTCTCCTATGATGCACATATGCATTAATTTCAAATTCTTATTCATTTAGTTAGAAGTCACCAGAAATGATTTTGCCTATTATATGAACTATATTTTTTTCTCAAATATTTAGCTGGCTACTGACATGACTCTATTGCTGTCACACTGTATCCAACTAAAATTTTAAATATGTAAAAGGAATTAAGGCCTTGTTGCTGAGTTTCATGTCATAGGAAGATAACTTTCACATGCGTATTCATGTTGAATCATGCTGAAGAAATATTCTTTGAAGATTCTCTGACCATCTCCTTCGGTACACAACATAAATTACTCCAATTCAGTTTCAATTACTCTGAATTCCAGGCCCATTAAGTCTTTCCAAATAGATATCCTTTATGTCACACACATACAGTGAAATTCAAGGCCCTTTTTATCATATAGTTAAGTGGTGCCACATACTGCTCCCAGACATTGGGAGTAATTTCCACATTTAAAGCAACAAAATTAATCCTGACCTCAACTAGTGACTCTTGATAAAAGTGCGTGACCTGGTAGGTCTTGATTAGTTTTCCTCTAAAAGTCTCTAATTATTATTAACAGTCAGCAGACAGTAGGAAAAACAGAACTTGAAGCCTCGTGTGTTCACAATATATTTCTTTCATGAGAGTAAAGAATCATCTATATCAGTAGCAAATGGTCATTTGTACAATCATGCCTACTAGACTTATTTGATTGTTGATGATCATGTCACTGTCCTGGGAAACCAAACAAACCAAACTAGACAATCATAACAATAACAATGACAACAACAATAAAGCCTGTGAAATCTCTTTCAATAAATGATCATACAATAGCAGGTGTTACCAATATTCTGCAGTCCCTTTGCTACAAGACAATGCCAGCTGATAATGTGCTTTCAGTTATGACATTTGGAATGTCAGTATGAATAACACTAAAAAAAGATATGTTTTTGTCATTGGTGGTTATTAAACACATACAGTACTTTATAGCTGGGAATTAAATAGAAATACAACGAGTCGCAGAAAATCTAAGGGAGCAACATAAAAAGACCTAATTAGAGTGAGGCATGATAGTATAAGGTGTGAGAAAGAATGGGATCACAGCCACAAATCTGTACTCTGACTCTGCTAATAAGTTATGTTTATATGTGATACTCGTTATGAACAAAAGTATAGTCTCTATAATTCACTTTGGGGATTAAATTGCAAATTTCTTTCCCAGGAAAAAGAATAAATGGCAAGGTACGTGGGATACATTAGGAAGAATATCAGTAACTGAGAAAAAGTCTCATAATTCTTTCTGATAAAGTTGACTTAATCGGAGAGGCAAAATTTGCTGAGAATTCGAAATGAGAAGTTTTGTAATTCTGATTAGCCTACAGGTTCTCAGTACTAGGCACGGCTTCTTGAAAGTTCCTAAATGAAAAATGCCCTCTGTGCTCAACTTACAGGTGGCCTTGATTATTTCCCTTGGGCATAGAACAAATAGTGATCAACTCAAGGCCAAAGAGTTTACAAAAACAAATAAAATTGAAGCAGTTATTATATTTAGTGATTGCTCACATATTTCAGAATGTAGATAGAAGGGCAGATTTTAAAACCTATCAAAATACAACTATTGGAATGTTTATCACAAGTATTCAAGGAAAGAGAAATGGTATATCCTCCTAAATGATTAGAGCTACAGGAAGATATTTTCAATGCACTTACATTTTATTTTTTAACTGTTCTCTAAATGCTTGACAACATTTAGAAGTTTAACCAACCACAGCTCCCAGGGTCTAAACCACCATCCTAGGAGCACTTAGGGAGGGATTCATGGCTTCAGTTGTATGCGTAAGAGCAGAGGGCCCTGCTGGGCATAGGTTGGAGAAGAGATCCTTGGCCTCATGAAGGCTGAACGCCCCAGGGGGTGGGAATTGGAGGGTGGGGAGGTGGGAGTGGGGTGGGGGTAGGTAGGGGTACATCCGCAGAGAAACAGGAGGAGGGATGAGGGGATAGGGGGTTCCTGGGTGGGTGGAGGATGGGGCAAGGAGACAACATATGAAATGTAAATAAAACATCCAATAAAAAAAAGAAAAAAGAAAAAACAAAAAAACAAACAACAACAACAACAACAAAAAGAATTTAAATTGAGCCGTCATGTGGTTGCAGGGAATCAAACTCAGAACCTCTAGAAGAGCAGCCCATGCTCTTAGCCGCTGAGTCATCGTCCTATTGGGTTGTCTTGTCCACCCTTAGGATAAGGGAGCTGCCTAATCTTACTGGAATTTAATATGCTATGTTTGGTTGCTATCCCTGCCAAGCCTGCCCTTTTCTGATGGGAAACAGAGGAATGCAATGAGAAAAATTTGAGGGAGGAGAAGGAGGAGTTGGGAGATGGGGGCTAGGAGTATTGAGGGGGGGAAAACCACAGGTGGGATGTTATGTATGAGAAAATAAATTAATTTTAAAAAAGGAAGGGCTGTGAATAAGGCAAAAATATGTAACAAAATATTAAATTGTTTATTGTTTTCTACATGCTTCTTGAGTAAACTATTAGTGCTCTGTATTTTTAAAAAATGTGAAATATTTTCTTAATTCTAATCTTAATGTTACCACAGGGATATGAAGACACTAAAGGACTATCATGAGAAGTTTCAACAACTTACACACTTGTGGATACGTTTGCAAGCATATTCTCGGATTTTTTAATATTAAACACCTACAAGGGTAATTTGAATTCCTTAGCTCATTTAACTATGTTTCTGCTAGTAATTAATTCCAGTTAGCATTATTTCTAAGATTGCAATTGTTAAGAGTTTACTTAATTTCTCTAAGGCCGTATCTATAGTAATCCCTGAAGCTTAAAATACATTTCAAGCACTGTACCTCCATTCCCTTTTTTCCATAGCAAATGACTAAAACAACAGAAAGAAGAAGTAGACTGAAGGAGATGCAGAGGAGCTGATTTGATCAATGATTTATGTTAAATGTTCTCTGATAGATGTTCATATGGCCACAGTGGACAAACCAGTGACTGTCATAAGATAAAACAGGGAAAGTAAAATTTCTCTATGCTACTTATAAAAAAAGAAAAAAAGGCATGGGATTAGGGATTCGAAGCTCAATGTTTGTTTCTAAAACTTTCCATTTCTTAGTTTTGAATAGCCATTGATGAAGCAGCAGTTAAAGAGATTTACTAAACCTCAATTGAAGAGATTGAGTATGATTTCTCAACCCAGGGTATAGTAATGCCAATGTTTGCCAAGTACATATTCCCTCAATATGTATACAGATCAATATATCATTTTCCTAAAACATCCGCAAGAATTAAAAAAGAAGTATGAAAACTTTTTCATGAGACACTACTGAACATTTTTTTGTTGTTTCCTTTTGTTTGTTTTTTTTTAACTAGCTAATTCAGCATGCCATGTTTTTAAGGGAGGTATAACTATAAGTCATAACTGGATCATGGGCTTATAGGACCAAACAAAAACAATGATTATGTATTAATATTATTATACCTAGCAAAATAGATGCTCAACACAGAATCAGAAAACTATTTAAATAGCCTAATATAATCTAAATCCACCATTTAAATTGTATTAAGATGTAGAAAGTAGGTGTTCTATATTTATACTCCCAAATATATCTTATTACTTGATCATTGTTATATATATATATATACATTACAGCCAGCTATGGGACTGAGCCCAGGGCCCAATGGAAGAGATAGGGGAAGAACTGAAGAAGCTGAAGAGGATTGCAACCCCATAAGAAGAACAATATCAACTAACTGGACCACCCAAAGCTCCCAGAGACTAAACCACCAACCATAGATTATACATGGAAAGAGCCAGTGCTCCAGATACATATGTAGGAAAGAATGACCTTATCTGAAATCAATGGAAGAGGAAGGAAGCCTGATGCCCCAGCAAGAAGAATGCTAGAGGGGAGAGGTGGGAGTGAGTGAATGGGTGGATGAGCACCCTCATAGAGGCAAAGAGGAGGGGGGAAGGGGGGTTGGGATGAAGGGGTTGAAAGGGGGGATGTGATGGAGGAGCTGTTGGAGGAGTAACGGGAAGGGCGATATCGTTTGAAATGTAAATGAGTAAAATGCTTAATAGAAAAATAAACACGAACCCTTACAGTCCATTTGAAAAAATAAAAGTAACAATTAAAGTCCCCCCAAAAGAAAAATCGATTTATAAACAAAGATAAATAGTGTTTATATTAATAAAAATCTACTTCTTCCATTTGTTAGAATTTTAGTTTTATTGAGGACATTACACAAAGTCAAATAAACCAGATATAGAAAGAGAGATACTCAGATAGAGAAATCATAGTTGATAAATATTTGCTGAGCAAGCATGAGCTCTTGAGTTTCAAGGTTCCAACATCCATGTAAAAAGACAAATGTAGAGATAATGTGCTTGTAGTCCTAGTCATGTGGAGGTACAGATAGGAAGAGGTCAAAGTCTTGCTGGCTAGTTAGTTTGGCCATTCCTTGAGCATCAATGAGACAATTTTTCAAGATAAGTAGATGGATGGATGGATAGATAGATAGATAGATAGATAGATAGATAGATAGATAGATAGATGATGGATGGATAGATAGATAGATAGATAGATGTAAATGACATTGAAAACAATGGAAAAATACCTATTATCCTCTGTCCTCACAAATATGTGAATGAACACATGAACATGTATATTATCATAGGTATAAACCTCCATATGTTTCTGATAGACATTTAAAAAATAAAGATAGTATGTTTACAAGGAATATAAGAGGATGAAAAAAATTTTAAAAAATAAATTAAAAAAAAACCCACTACATAACCTCACCTACATGTGATATCTAAATGTTTTAAACTTAGAAAAGCACAAAATGAATACTGATGTACCAAGTGCTAGTAGTATAGGCAATCAGCTGATATATTAAGCACATAAGCTTAAGGTATAAAATGAAGTTATAGATGGCAATGGTTATGATAATTACTTTAATTATAGCAACCATTACATAGTGTGTGTGACAAATCATCCTCTTATATTCCTTGAAAACATACTATCTTTATTTTTTAAAATGTCCATCAGTGACATGTGGAAGTTTATACCTATGATCAAATACATTTTGGAAAAATACAGTGCAGAGTTATATTTTGTGAACACTTAGGATAAAAGAAACCACAAGAAAATTGTCCTTTCAATTGTCCATTTGAATATGTTAACATTTCTTAGAATTTGTCACTTTAGAAGTTATTGGTCTGATTCCTAGAAAATAAAATATGTTTTTAAAAAGCTGATAATGAATATGTCTATAAAATAACATAATTTTCCCTAGCTAAATTTACTGAGACTCAGTTGCATACCTATACTTTAACTTCCTTATCAAATTATGTGCTACTAAGGAAAGTATATTAATAATAAAGGTCATGGCCCACTATGCACTACAGCCGATATATATTACTGTGCAGACCAAAAAAAGTAATAAAATTTATATTTTACAAAATGTACTAGAATTTACACAGCCTTAATAATTTTCTCCCAATTTACCACCCACTTCAACATTTGTAAGAGATTACAATTTCTACAAGAACTGCTGGAGGGCTATCCACTTTCTATGGTCACACATCTTCATATTATATTTTCCAAAAGTGATTATTCATTTACATAACTGTGTGATTTTATTCAACATTAAATGGTTTCAATAAAACCTATTGTGAATTTCTTAAGTCCCTCTCTTTAAGGTCATTGAAAATAGAAGTACTAAAATTTTTAAAGTATCCTTGATCAAGTTTATAGCTTGAATTTATGACCTTCCATTTTAAGGTCAATTTGGGTAACTTAGTGAAATTATATTTCTTTCATAACCTTTGGACAATGAAGATGTCAATGGATCCTAAATACATTTACCATGCAATCAAAATATAACATTGTGCCAATTCTATCTTCCCCTTGATTGGTAATTGTAGTGATAGTCCTTCAAAAGTGCTTGCAAATTGCACACAGAGACCAAGTTCTCCAAATGAGTTAAACAGAGTTCCCTATTTTTTTTTAAATAAAACTTTTAATATTCATTCTGAGGTGGGTTAATCGTCTTTTTCATTAGGCTAGAAGATCACACACTGAGAATGTCTTCCTGCCATCTGAGTAATCAATGAGCCGACATGGCTGTAAATCTTCCACAAATTCCCAATGGTTCAATTCAAAGAAAAATGTTTATTCTTTCCCTCCTCTCTTTCCTTCCATTTTTGAGTCTCGTTTTCAAACTGTAGGGAGAATCTTTTATTGTGCTATTCAAGAAACAGGAAGTATTTCAATTCTTAACAATTTTGCCTTTTAAAACAATTCTTATAATTTGCATTTTGCTAACCGTGAAAGAATAAATGTTATAAAAAATGCTTGGAACAAAAAGAATCATAAAATCCTACAATCAGGAAAAACTATTCATTTCATTACTGTTGTTTTAATGATTGAAATGTGAACATGTGATTTGTGGTTATTTTAGCAGAAGCAGAATGCAAAGTAATGATTAAGTCTAAGAGCATTTGTTCATTAAATAGTACAGTGGCAGCACTTTGCACAAAGTAGTGTAAGCTTGCCAATAATTACACAAATCCAATAATTAACTCATTGGCATTGTACAATGCTCCAAGTAAAGTGATTGATAATGTACTTGAAAAAAATCTAACAAATGAGTAACATAGTTTGAGAAAGGCTTTGATAATTATTCTGAATTTCTGTAAGTATGTGATAATAAAGAGGTCAGTAATTATGCTGTCATGATACGATTGCAAAACCAATCTCGGCTATATTATTTTACTTGCAAAATATATTATCAAAATTGTGGGGCACAGAAATTGTTAATTAGAGTAGTTCTCAATGGAAATTGATTTTAATATTGTACACATACATGCTCACACACACAGGCACACACACGCATGCACACACACACAGATGCAGCAATGAATGCAAGTTTCAGTAACTGACTTAGGAACTAATGTCTATATGCAATAACTTAAAACTTTAGGAAACTGAAGTAGAATGACTGTATTAGACTCTATAGGTAATCCTTTTAGATCATCCTATAAACAAGTTTGCTACTCATCTTGGTTGAAATACATTATACCATTTTCAGTCTAGTTATTCTATGTGGTCTACTCCATAATCTGACAGGCTGACCAAAAAGGGAATTTCTCTCAGTAGCTCCTTACCTGGTATCATGCAGTCAGATTCAGACAAACAGACAATGAATGACAATCTCATGATTCACTACACTGATAAAGTGACTGGCAATGGTTGTGAGTTCATGGTCACATTACTTAGTCATACCTCCTCGTACCATTTTTCCCCAGTGTATTCTGTTAGATGAAAAAAGTATCAGATGAGAACTTAAGAATGGAATGCATAGAACTCTTTGAGCTCTGCCAGAAACTACAGCAAATTATTCTGCCGTCTATTTAAACTCACTCTCAAAAATCCTCTTCCAATTTTGAGTTGATGATTCAAATTTGCTGGAAGTTTTCCCATATGGACTCATGACTGGCTAGCAGTTTGTTAGTCTTTCTGACAGGAACTACTTACTACAATTGTATATCTGTATCTTGATCTAAGTGTAAAACCTTAGAAACAGGACAATTTTACACAAGATTGTCTAGTTTTTCAGTTTCAAGCACTTTATTTCTTATGCCACAAAGTAGGCTTAAAACAAAGTATAACTACATACTGATTTTCGAAGCTATTTTTAATCAAATGCCTACCAGCCCATTTTCTACATTTATGTATGTAGATTTGTAACTTTCTTATATTCTGATATATTTGGTATCTTTAAAATTTTTAATATTTTTCAAGAAAACTATGCAGTGCCTTTTATAATGGTAGGATCAAGGGCAAAAATTATTAGAAGCTTGTGATAATAAAATTTCAATAATTGTCATAAGATATCTGTAAATTAAGTGTATTTATTACTAAGGTTGGTGATTATTTTATTATCCATTTGCAAAGTATTATCCTCAAAGGATACCGATAGGATACATTGAGCATTATGTTTCCTTATAATAATAAAAAAAAAAAGTTATGCACTCATGAAGAAATCCAAGAATCTTGAATTGGTTCCTTTCATACAAAACTGAATTTCCTCAGACATTCATAGGATAAATACTGGAAATGGCTACTAACACCAGATTGAAAATGAATTTTGAAAATGTATCAAAATTTGCCTCATTTTGTACAAAAGTTTAAAATGAGGATTTAAGCTTGTTCAAATTGCTTCAAAATCTCTTCTTCCATATCTGCTGATGCACTTGTCTGAGACTCATTTTTTCTATTATAACTGCTATTAATATAAGATACAGCAATAATTTAACTCAGAACATACGTTCTGTCATCCTGCCACAAATGTTGTCAATCCAAAGAGCAAGCAAATAAGCAACAAAGAACACATATTCACATATACAAGCAAGAAAGAAACACATATACCATGCTAAAATTTAAACCATTGGAATATAAACAATTAATACCTGATAAATTATTGTTTACTATAAACTTAATAATAGCTCATTATATTATTGTTGGTCAGTAGCCTTGCTTTTGCAGATGTAGAAACTAATAATGAAATATCGTGACTTATTTTAGCATGCCTTTATTTGGTTATTGAATAACTCATTCCACTTATAGTTATGAACATATTTTGTGCTTCAGAGAACAATCTTGGGCTCTCAATGATTCATAGCATTTT